GCCCCAGGGGGTCCCAGCAGCTCTTTCCCTGCAACACCCCTCCTCACTGGACAGGTCCTTCGAGTCGGAGGGTATGTGGGGTTTGTCGGGCCTGGGTTCTAATCCCGCTCTAGGACCTTAGCAAGTCCCTCAAGGCCCTGAGCCTTAGTGTCTCATCTACCAAACTGGAGGCTCATGTCTGCAATCAAGTAACATCATGATGTCACACCTCTGACCACCTGCCACACTGAGTACCTGCTAAGCATATTTCTGCATTATTTCAGTTAATCCTCCCAACACTGCTGGGGAGGAAGCTTCTGTTTTTAATCTCCATTTTCAAGTTGGAGAGAGCAAGACTCAGAGAGGTAGAGTAATTTTCCCAAAACCACACAGCAAATGAACAGTAGAGACAGGGATTGAACCCGGGCAGGCTAGCTGTTGAGTTCTCACTCCTAACTCTGGCCTCACAGGGCAAAGCACCAGCCCTGTGATAAGGAGGTTGTGATCAGCTGCCCTCTTCCCCCATCGGCTACAAGGGCAGGCCGGCCACTGGGACACCCCAAGGAGGAGGGGTCCCCCAGTGGGAAGGCTGAGAGGGCCTTGCTGTTTTGTAGGGGGAGCACCATGGAAGGCGACTGTCTGAGCTGCATGAAATATCTGATGTTTGTGTTCAATTTCTTCATATTTGTAAGTATTCCTGGAACATTCCCGGGGTCTCCCCAGGCCTCTGCGGGGTGGGCAGGACCGGCTGCGGCTTGAAAGTCACATGGGTCTGAGTCCCAGGAACAGGAAGAGGGGCCAGTGCTAGAAGCAGCTGTACCTGCCCAGCTTGGGGGCTCACGGTGGGGAGGCCCCCAGCAGTGCCCACCCCACTCCTAGAGCCCACCGTCACAGGAGAGGTGTTTTGCACAGCCCCTGGGATAATGCTTCAGCTACTCTAAAAAAGAAAAGATAGGGGCCTTAGTCCTGGCTGCTATCTTGAAATCTGACCCCTGGTAGGGAGTTGGGGAGGGGGAGGATTGGGGTGATCAGAGGGCAGCAGGGAGCCCCACCCAGCCCTGACTCCCCAGAGCAGTTATGCACATGGGAGCTGGCTGGGCGGAGCTGACGGAGCCAGCTGATGAAATCTGAAACCTCTCTGGGACCAAGAGACCTGGGTTCAAAGCCCAGCTCTGCATCTCCAGCTATGTGATCTGAAACACATTTCACCCCTCTGAACCTCAGTATCTTCATCCTTTAATCTCCCCCCTCAACAGGTTTTTTGCAAATGGAGCAAGATTAGTTTAGGAAGTGCCTGCAATGTGTCAGCTCCATCCCCTTCCAACCTATGGATTCTATTCGTGAAAGAACAGAGGCCCTGGGGGCTCAGGTGGCCAGCCCAGCGCCCTGTAGCACAGCCCACCTGCTCTGCTCAGACCCATGGCCTCTCCCAGGAGCAGAGCCACGCTCATCGTGTGACCCCACCTCCACCTTTGACCTTAGTGCAGCCAAGACCTCGATGAGTAAGCATCTACTGATGTCCCCCAGGGCAGGGTCACTAGGAAAGAGAGACCTCTTCAGGTCAAGACTGACTCTGTCGGCCTGTCTGTCACCATCTATTTTTTGTACATTTCAGCAACTCTCCTGGATTCCCTCCCCTGCCCCTAATCCTGAAGAGCAGGGAGCCCCCACAGACTTGAATTCTAGACCCAACTTCCAAGGTGGGTGGCCCTGGGCAGTCCCAGTGTCCCTAGGTGAAATGGGGCTGAGTCATCCTGGGCCACCCAGTTCATGCCTGAGCCCCGCCCTTGAAGCAGAACTCAGAACACAATTAGTAAACCCCCAAACCTCCAACAGCTATGAGGAGGTTTCCCTGGAGGTTTGTGGGGAGACCAAGGAGAAGACGTCGCGCAGCAGATGGCGAAAATGTAGATTCTGTCGTTGGCTGTCCCTGGGTCCCTCAGGCCTCTCTGCCTCCGCCGTCCCATCACCGCACCTGAAAATATCGCCTCTTGCCCCAAACCATCCAGCTGTTCCCCCAGCTTACAGACCCCTCAGCCAAGCCAAAGCTCAGCAGTTTTCTGTCATTCCTCAGGTCCTCCCATGACACGGGGATTTCAAACACTTCCCAGCCTTTAAAATCTGATGATGCCAAATGGTTTCTCCTGCAACAGGTCTGTTTCCAATACTGGTCTGCGCCCAAGACCAATGGAACGGATGTTTATTGAACCCTGCCAAGCACCTTCACGTCCGTTCTGTCCTTTCTTCTTATTCGGGGCCACCTCGGGAGGTGGGAAACAGTATCTTCTTTTAACCATGGGGAAGCCAAGGTTCAGAGAGGTTAAGCCACTTACCCAAGGTCACACAGCTAATAAGTGGCACAGCCCTTTCTCTGGACTAAGCTGCCTCTCTCCAAAGATAAGTAAGGCATGGAGACGAGGGCCGTGGAGATGAAGACATAAAAAGAATGTGATGTGAGAGTGGTGACCCCATCCCAACTGAGAGCTCCTGTTGAGGACAAAGAGGGTGGCTTTTGTCTGTGTTTTCCCAGCATAGGTGTCAGAGCATGTTCATGGATTTGGCGAGAGTCCTTGGGGCTGGAGTCAGGGAGGCCTGGGGTTCAGCCCCGGCTCTGCCGTGAACTTGCTGCGTGACCTTCGGTAAGTCCGTTGGTCCCCTCTGGGGCTCAGTGTGGAATCAGAAGGTTGGACTGAATGACCTCATTATCCAGCTGCTCTAACATTTAAGGAGAATATAAAAGTGGCGGATAAACTCTACATGACATGGCTCTCAGCAGCCCGAGGTGGGGCGTGGGTCAGAGACTGGATCTGGAGGTTGCGTGACACACCGCAGGTCAGGGTAAGTAGGGCAATTCAGAGCAGAGGAAAACGCTGCCAGGACATTGACTCGAGCAGCAAATGGAGTTTCTGCCCAGTCCACCGGGCACTCAGCGCCTCCGCCCCAGGGCCTCGCTCAGGAAAATGGCGTGTGTGTGTAGAATGTCTAACCTCCGTGTCTGCCTGTTTCTTCTCCCCTCTCCTGACTGGCCCCGGAGAGCAGCTGGGCGGGGCCTGCCTGCTGGGCATCGGCATCTGGGTCATGGTGGACCCCACCGGCTTCCGGGAGATCGTGGCCGCCAACCCCCTGCTTATCACAGGCGCCTACATCCTCTTGGCCATGGGGGGCCTGCTTTTTCTGCTCGGCTTCCTGGGCTGCTGCGGGGCCGTCCGGGGGGACAAGTGTCTGCTGCTGTTGGTGAGTACCCCATCCTCCACCCCACCCATGGGTGCCCCGGGCTGGGTGTTGGCGGCCCTGTGTCCACACTACGGGGGACTCACACTGAGATCTGAGCCGAGTAGGCCGTCCTCCAGGAGCGGGAGGGGCCACCAGCCCTTCCTACATGCATCTGCGCTTGGACCCGTGCCTGCCATGTGGGTGAGCTGCTCCCACGTGGGCAGCGGCCTTGGCCTCCAGGTCTGAACAGCCAGGCTTCTCCAAGGCGGGGTCAGCTGAGAACGCTGACTCGTGATGCTTTCTACTTGCTTGTAAGACCTAGAATATATAACTCTGTGGTAAGAGAGCTAAGACAGCTATCAGATAAATCATTCAGCTTTCGCATTTCCACTTCTAGAATAGAAATGATATGACCTCTGAAGGGCCTTTATTCATTAAACAGTCCTTGACCCACTATTACAGGCCACACAGTTCACTAGGTGCTATAGATGCATCAGGGGCCGAGTGGCCGTCCCCTCACTGGTGGACAGGCTGGTGAGAGGCAGGCGAGCCCACGAGGATGAGCTGGGCAGGCCTGGGCTTGTGTGTGCGCTCTGCTCTGTCTTGTAACTAATGATCTGACTCCGGTCTAGTTTCTTAACCTCTCTGAGCTTTAGTGTCTTCTCGTTAAGTGAGGGGCAAACCAGCTCAGCTGTAGGTTGGAGCCGAACAAGACAAGCGGTGGATGTCCCGTTTCTCTGGTCTTCTGGGTTCACATGGGCTGTGGCCCTTTGGGCCTCTGCTTACTGCCCTGGCCTTGGTGATGGGGCTTCCTCTCCTACGAGGTCCTGTGCCCCCGCGGGCTAGGAAAGCCGGGTAGAGCGCAGTCCTGCTGGAGGGTAGGTTAAAAACGGCCCAGCTTAGAAGTGTGTGCGTGGAAGGGCCAGCTTGCAGACGCTCCTCATGGGTGAGCAGCCGCGTGGGTCGGGGGTTAAGTGATAGGGAGACATGGGCTGGTCAGTGACGTGGGCTTGCAAGGCGTCCGTCCACTCCTGCCGATGAGCCGGCACCAGTGGCTTTGGGAGGCAGAGATCTGGCACAAATGCCTCCTCCCCAGATTAGAACAGACTGTACACTCCCCATTCGTGTCACAGATAGAAAGTGAAATCAGCTGTGATGTGTGTGACACAGGCGCCCTGGGTCCCTCTGGCCTTGGGCAGCTGGGTAAGCAACACAAACTTTCCTTCTGGAGAGAAACAAAGAAACCCGAGGGCGCCCCCTGGTGGAGAGCTCTGTACAGCGTCGGACGGTGCAGGGAAAAGTCTGGGCTTGGGGAGCTGGGGACTTTGAAAGGAGCTGAGTATGGGTCCCAGGACACACCAGAGCTCCCTTCCTACATCCCTCCTCTGCCCACCCTGCATCTCAGCCCCCAGGGCTCATCCAACGTTAATGGGCTCATCCCTGAAGCCAAGACAGGAAGCCGGGCCGGGGCTCTGGGCCAGGAGCAGGCTGGAGGCCTCGCAAGCCCTCTCGAGCTAAGTGGCTCCCTCAGAGCCTGCCAGCTGGAAAACACATCACTCTCCCCAGTGCTTAGGGGAGAAGGCTGAGACCCCGGGGTAGGAGGAGGTTTGCCCCAAGTTCCCTGAGAGAGAGTTAAGTCCCGGCTGTGGCCGGTGTGCCCACCAAACCTTGAAGTCACCCCTTCCGGACATCCCCTCTTCTGCCTCCTTCCTCCCTTATGTCTCTTCAGTCTCATTATGTGTGTTTCTCCCTTTCTTTTCTCGCTCTTTCTCTGCCTCTGTCTTCCTGTCTCTCTATCTCTGCCTTTCTCTTGATCTCTTGGTTTCTGTGCCTAATGCCTTTCCTTCCCCTTCTCCTGGACCACGCCCCCTCCCCCGCCCACCTCTGCCCCCTCTCCCTGCCTCTGTCTTTCTTTACTTCCCCTGCTTCCTTTCCCCCTTCCCCTCCCCTCCCCTCTCTCTCAGAACCCTAACACACAACCCTGAGGTCACAGTGCAGGTCAAAGCCAGGGGAGTCTGGGACTCAGGTCTGCTGTCTCAGGCCAGGGCTGATCCAGAGGCTCCTAACCTGGAATGGGCTCAAGTGGTCCAAAACTCACCCAAAATTATGTGCGAAATATGTCAGGGCCTCCATGTGTGTGCCTGTACCTATGTGTTGTATGTGTGTGTGGTATGCCTGCTTGCGTGTTTCTAGGGCCACCACAGCTTCTGGAAGGTTTTCAGAAAGATTCATGGAAAGTAGGAAGAACTGCTTTCTCTTCCAACCTGGACTCAGCTGTGTGGTGGTTCCAGCTGAAGAGGGGCCCCAGGTCTCACCCCTCCTGGCCACTGCATCCTTTTAAGAAGTCTGAGCCGCCTTCTTGCCCTTCAGGGAAGGAGGGAAGACTTATCTTGAGAGAAGCCAAGAGAGAGTGACTTTAGTCACCTCTGGAACTGTGGCTTAAAGGCTTGCAGAGAGAGGAGGCCTGGGGATAGGACTTAGCTGGGCACCCCTCTGCCTCGCTCTGAGGCTAAACCCCAAGGGGTGCCAGTGACCCTTAGCCCTGGAGACAATGAGTCTAATGTCAGCTAACGATCAACTCTTCTAAAGACACATTTTCCAAACACTCCTGTCGATCAGTTTCACAGCATTTTCACGTACCATGGAACAATTTCAGCCTATTGGTGAGATTGTGTGGCATCCCCCTTTTCCTAGTTGCTTACCTATAACTAGTTTGAGGAATGTTTTTAACCCATTTTTAGAAAGATTCACATTTTAAAAATATTTTATAACCAAGACCTGCTAAATTGGGAAAGAGAACAGCAAAAAGAGATGAGTGTAATTTAAAAGTGATAAATAAGCTGAATAGTTCATGAAAATTTAATAGTTCATGTAAATTTGCTAAATATTATTAGCAAAAATTTAATAGTTCATGTAAATTTGCTAAATATTATTAGAAATGAGAACTAAAAGCTGACATGCTGTAGGCAGATGGCTTAGAAAAGTCTGGAAATGCTCACAAGTAGGCAAAATAGCAGTTTTTACCCCTTGATTAGTTTTCTGAGCCTAAGCAAAGTGTGATAAATGTAATGTTCAGGGAATTACTGGCAAATGTGTCCTTAGGCAAATGGGATAAGGTCAGATTAACTCTAGGCAAACAAACCCTGGGAAAGGCCCTGGTTAGGGGAAGCCCCAGGAAGCATCAGCCCTGTGGCCAGGTCCAGGAGGAACCCCTCCAAATAACCAGTAGTAACCCTGTCAAGCAGGAGGAAATTATTTCGTGCCGGAGACGTTAGCAGAAGTGACGTTGGTACCGATGTTGGCCCCAAAGCCCTGCACTTTCCTTCAGGTGACTTAAACTCACATATTCATGTTATCCCTCAGTCCCCATGCTTGGGGAGACCTGCTCCAGGCAGGAGCAATGGCCAGGAGATCTGCAGACCCCCTTCCTCTGGGGAGGCCCGCTTTCCCCATCAATGAGTTACCAGGTTCATTCTGTAATTTCATCTCATGAATCTTATGTTTTTCATCTCATGAATTTCATTTCATGAATCATGAACCTTGGCTCAATGGAAACTCCGTGAGGATGGGGACCACATCTGCCTTATGTGTATTTGTTTACCAGTACCTAGCACAGTACCTGGCACAGCGTAGGTGCTCAATAAACAGCCCTAGAATGAAGGAACAGAGAGGAGGTGGTCTCAGAGGTGTGGGTAAGAACATGGGCTTTGGAGTCAGAAAAACCTTGTTCTAATCCCTGCTCTGCCACTTCCTGGCTGTGTGACCTGGGGTCAGTTACTTAACCTCTCTGAACTTCAGGTTCCTCATATGTAAAATGAAGATAATAATACCTCCTTCCCAGGCATAGTGTTGTGATCAGGGTTCAGTAAGAAAATATGCATCTTGTTTAACTCTGTTCCTGGCACATATAAGCATTTGATAAATGTGAAAGCAAAAGGATTGGTGTCGATCCACAAGAGATCCTGCAGGCCATCTGAAAGTCTTAAGACTTGGAGGCTCTTCTGGGTTCCAGGAAAACATGGCGTTAGGAGGCTGTGTTCTGGAATCAGAGTTCCTGTGTTTATCCCATCTGAGCCAGCTTGGTCAAGCTCTACCCTCTCAGGGTTCCAGTTTCCCCATCAGTAAAACAGAGGTGTTGTTGATAACAGCAGCTGCTACTCCAGGCTGCCCAGAGGGTTCAATGAAATCACCCATGTAAGAGCCACAGTGCTTAGGTGTTAAGCCCCTCATAGATTGTAGCTATTGTTATTTTCCCGGAGATCACCCACGCCAGCCCTTGTCTTCAGGAAGGCCATGCTTCCTCTTGGTTCTGAGCCACCATCTGAGCTGTGCTCACATCGTGCCAGCCTCGTGCACAGCGCTTCACCTGCATCGTCTCACTGACACGGCGCTAAGTCCCCTGGAAAGCACATGCAGGCTCCCAGAGTTATGAGCACGTGGAGTTCACGAGTTCTGTCTCACCCATAGTTTATGACTGTCTAAGCCGAGGTTGATAGGCAGAGACAGCTCAGTCACGTCGCTGGGGTGGAAACCATTTCCGAGGCCGCTCTTTTGCCAGCCCGAGGACAGCCAGCAACTCCACCGCGAGGGCAGAGCGCGGGGCGGGGCTCCGTGGAGGCCATGTGAAAGAGAACTGGATGACCATCTGTCACCAGCCAAATGGAGATGCCAGGAGCCCGGCCAGGGCCCTCCATCACTGTCACAGGGGTGAGAGGCTGCAGGGGTGGGGAACATACCTCTCAGCCCAAGGACGAGCTTGTGGAAGTGGAGGGGGATGGGATGGGCATCGTGGCCAGGGTCAGCCTGCCCGGGGATACAGGTGTCCCTCTGTCACTCTCCTTTCTGGTTAGGGAGCTCTGCCTCCCAACCTCAGTCCAAGGTCAGCCCACACAGCTGACTACAGCAAGGCTGCCCCTGACCTGCTGGAACCAGAGCCCCAGGGTTCAGAAGAGCCACTGCCAGGCCAGCCCTGAACTGTGCTCTTCAGCAAAGAGAGAAAAGGGGTAGCGTGGTGCTCTGAAAGGAGCTGGATTAAGAGGACAGGATTTGGTCTCAAATTTTTGAGCTGCACACCTTTGGAAAGGAAAGTTATTCTCCTTCTCGGGCTTGTTTCCTCCCCTGTGGAAACGGGGGCCAAACAGAAAAGAGACCATGGGACAGGTGTCGGGTTCTGATGCCAAGCAAGCCTCTATGAGACCAGAGACCATGGGCTTGAACCTGGCGAGACCTCCCCGCTACCCCCGGCCCCTGTGGCTAAGGAGTGAACAATGCATGCCTTGTGCTGGCTGATCTGTTTAAGCCAGGGGCTCTCCTTGGGTTTGGACATTGAAAAAAACAAAACAAAGCCTTTGGCAGGTCTAGGAGATGTTTCATGTCTGCATCCTGGACGGATCATCTCACTCTCCGTCCTAAGCTCTCCCCGAAAGCAGTCCTCAGACCAAGGAGTTTGGAGAAACCTCGGGACCTCTATGGGGCAGCTGCTGTCAGCGCTGAAAAGTCAGGGAGGGTATATGACCTGGGGTCTTCCTGGGATGAGGATAAAGTGACTGGAAGAGACAGGATCCAGGAAAGAGACAACCCTGTTGGCTCCAAAGATGGATTGTTGGTGTGTTTATTACGAAAAATGTCTGGCTTACGGCAGTTAAGTTCCTCAGTCTCTCAGAATCAGTACGTTGTGTCAATCGTGTGACCAATGGAAGGGTACCTCGGCAAGCGGTCAGCTGCCCCCTTCCCCCCCTCCCCGCGCCCTCGGGGCTCACGGGCCTGCCGCCTTCTCTCTGCAGTTCTTCCTGTTCATCCTGATCATCTTCTTGGCGGAGCTCTCGGCGGCCATCTTGGCCTTCATCTTCAGGGAGAACGTACGTACTGGGCCCCGTGTGCTCCGGCCCCATTCATGGCCAGCCCCTCCCTCCACAGAGGGTCTCACAGAGTCAGTGCCCTCTCATCCAGTAGTTCCAGCCCAAATCACAACCCACCGGCCCAGCAAGGCCCCACAGCCCAAAGAGAGGAGACCCCAGTGAGCTTCTCCCTAAAAGAGCTTTTCCAGAAGGTCAGAGTCAGAGGGCCCTTAAGGGTCTCTGCTCTTCCCAAGTATCTTCCCGCACCTGGTTCCATCTTCCATTCCACACCTTGCCCACCTGTGGCCCAGCAGTAGTCATCTGACAGTCTGAGGATAGTCAAAGAGGATGTCTCTTGAGGCTTCCCTGGTGGCGCAGTGGTTGGGAGTCCGCCTGCCGCTCACATATTCATGTTATCCCTCAGTCCCCATGCTTGGGGAGACCTGCTCCAGGCAGGAGCAATGGCCAGGAGATCTGCAGACCCCCTTCCTCTGGGGAGGCCCGCTTTCCCCATCAATGAGTTACCAGGTTCATTCTGTAATTTCATCTCATGAATCTTATGTTTTTCATCTCATGAATTTCATTTCATGAATCATGAACCTTGGCTCAATGGAAACTCCGTGAGGATGGGGACCACATCTGCCTTATGTGTATTTGTTTACCAGTACCTAGCACAGTACCTGGCACAGCGTAGGTGCTCAATAAACAGCCCTAGAATGAAGGAACAGAGAGGAGGTGGTCTCAGAGGTGTGGGTAAGAACATGGGCTTTGGAGTCAGAAAAACCTTGTTCTAATCCCTGCTCTGCCACTTCCTGGCTGTGTGACCTGGGGTCAGTTACTTAACCTCTCTGAACTTCAGGTTCCTCATATGTAAAATGAAGATAATAATACCTCCTTCCCAGGCATAGTGTTGTGATCAGGGTTCAGTAAGAAAATATGCATCTTGTTTAACTCTGTTCCTGGCACATATAAGCATTTGATAAATGTGAAAGCAAAAGGATTGGTGTCGATCCACAAGAGATCCTGCAGGCCATCTGAAAGTCTTAAGACTTGGAGGCTCTTCTGGGTTCCAGGAAAACATGGCGTTAGGAGGCTGTGTTCTGGAATCAGAGTTCCTGTGTTTATCCCATCTGAGCCAGCTTGGTCAAGCTCTACCCTCTCAGGGTTCCAGTTTCCCCATCAGTAAAACAGAGGTGTTGTTGATAACAGCAGCTGCTACTCCAGGCTGCCCAGAGGGTTCAATGAAATCACCCATGTAAGAGCCACAGTGCTTAGGTGTTAAGCCCCTCATAGATTGTAGCTATTGTTATTTTCCCGGAGATCACCCACGCCAGCCCTTGTCTTCAGGAAGGCCATGCTTCCTCTTGGTTCTGAGCCACCATCTGAGCTGTGCTCACATCGTGCCAGCCTCGTGCACAGCGCTTCACCTGCATCGTCTCACTGACACGGCGCTAAGTCCCCTGGAAAGCACATGCAGGCTCCCAGAGTTATGAGCACGTGGAGTTCACGAGTTCTGTCTCACCCATAGTTTATGACTGTCTAAGCCGAGGTTGATAGGCAGAGACAGCTCAGTCACGTCGCTGGGGTGGAAACCATTTCCGAGGCCGCTCTTTTGCCAGCCCGAGGACAGCCAGCAACTCCACCGCGAGGGCAGAGCGCGGGGCGGGGCTCCGTGGAGGCCATGTGAAAGAGAACTGGATGACCATCTGTCACCAGCCAAATGGAGATGCCAGGAGCCCGGCCAGGGCCCTCCATCACTGTCACAGGGGTGAGAGGCTGCAGGGGTGGGGAACATACCTCTCAGCCCAAGGACGAGCTTGTGGAAGTGGAGGGGGATGGGATGGGCATCGTGGCCAGGGTCAGCCTGCCCGGGGATACAGGTGTCCCTCTGTCACTCTCCTTTCTGGTTAGGGAGCTCTGCCTCCCAACCTCAGTCCAAGGTCAGCCCACACAGCTGACTACAGCAAGGCTGCCCCTGACCTGCTGGAACCAGAGCCCCAGGGTTCAGAAGAGCCACTGCCAGGCCAGCCCTGAACTGTGCTCTTCAGCAAAGAGAGAAAAGGGGTAGCGTGGTGCTCTGAAAGGAGCTGGATTAAGAGGACAGGATTTGGTCTCAAATTTTTGAGCTGCACACCTTTGGAAAGGAAAGTTATTCTCCTTCTCGGGCTTGTTTCCTCCCCTGTGGAAACGGGGGCCAAACAGAAAAGAGACCATGGGACAGGTGTCGGGTTCTGATGCCAAGCAAGCCTCTATGAGACCAGAGACCATGGGCTTGAACCTGGCGAGACCTCCCCGCTACCCCCGGCCCCTGTGGCTAAGGAGTGAACAATGCATGCCTTGTGCTGGCTGATCTGTTTAAGCCAGGGGCTCTCCTTGGGTTTGGACATTGAAAAAAACAAAACAAAGCCTTTGGCAGGTCTAGGAGATGTTTCATGTCTGCATCCTGGACGGATCATCTCACTCTCCGTCCTAAGCTCTCCCCGAAAGCAGTCCTCAGACCAAGGAGTTTGGAGAAACCTCGGGACCTCTATGGGGCAGCTGCTGTCAGCGCTGAAAAGTCAGGGAGGGTATATGACCTGGGGTCTTCCTGGGATGAGGATAAAGTGACTGGAAGAGACAGGATCCAGGAAAGAGACAACCCTGTTGGCTCCAAAGATGGATTGTTGGTGTGTTTATTACGAAAAATGTCTGGCTTACGGCAGTTAAGTTCCTCAGTCTCTCAGAATCAGTACGTTGTGTCAATCGTGTGACCAATGGAAGGGTACCTCGGCAAGCGGTCAGCTGCCCCCTTCCCCCCCTCCCCGCGCCCTCGGGGCTCACGGGCCTGCCGCCTTCTCTCTGCAGTTCTTCCTGTTCATCCTGATCATCTTCTTGGCGGAGCTCTCGGCGGCCATCTTGGCCTTCATCTTCAGGGAGAACGTACGTACTGGGCCCCGTGTGCTCCGGCCCCATTCATGGCCAGCCCCTCCCTCCACAGAGGGTCTCACAGAGTCAGTGCCCTCTCATCCAGTAGTTCCAGCCCAAATCACAACCCACCGGCCCAGCAAGGCCCCACAGCCCAAAGAGAGGAGACCCCAGTGAGCTTCTCCCTAAAAGAGCTTTTCCAGAAGGTCAGAGTCAGAGGGCCCTTAAGGGTCTCTGCTCTTCCCAAGTATCTTCCCGCACCTGGTTCCATCTTCCATTCCACACCTTGCCCACCTGTGGCCCAGCAGTAGTCATCTGACAGTCTGAGGATAGTCAAAGAGGATGTCTCTTGAGGCTTCCCTGGTGGCGCAGTGGTTGGGAGTCCGCCTGCCGATGCAGGGGACACGGGTTCGTGCCCCGGTCCGGGAAGATCCCACATGCCGCGGAGCGGCTGGGCCCGTGAGCCATGGCCGCTGGGCCTGCGCGTCCGGAGCCTGTGCTCCGCAGCGGGAGAGGCCACAACAGTGAGAGGCCTGCGTACCGCAAAAACAAAACAAAACAAAACAAAAAAGGCTGTCCCCCCAGCACAGAATGTGTGCCATGCAGGAGAACAGGACAGAGCCCTCTTTGATGAGACCCTGGCAAGTATGAAATTTGGGCACCTTGCCGCTATAGACCATCTTATCACAGAGGCTCCAACCACCCGGGTCCCTGCCCTTCCCTGCAGCAGGGAGCAGGGTCATACCTCTCACACGGTGGCTTCTTCAGGGCCTGGGACGCTTGGCTCTGTCTGAGGAACAGCTCAGGGCGGGGGGGTGGCGGTGGCATGAGGGGGCGAGTGCCCCACTGTGGACCAGCCCTCGGTCTGGGAGGAGCTGCAGGGATGGTGGAGGTTCCCAGGTGGCCCTGGCCTCAGGCTTGCCGAGGCCCGTGTGGGTAGACTGCGTTTTCATGTCGGGGATCTGACGATGCAGTGAGGCCACAGGTCCTGGGGTTGGAGGTGAGGGCCTGCCCCAAGTTAGCTGCTTGAGGAGAGGGTCACTGGCACCAGAACGCTGAGGCCTTCCCCCTCCGTTCCCCGGAGCAGGTCACTGGAGAGGCCAGGGAGGGGAGCTGTATCAAGCTGCTGTAGATCTCAGCCTGCCCCCTCCCTTTGCCTCCAGCTCACCCGCGAATTCTTCACCAAGGAGCTCACCAAGCACTACCAAGGCCACAACGACACAGACGTCTTCTCTGCCACCTGGAACTCGGTCATGATCACAGTGAGTGGCCCCAGGGATGCTGGGAGCATTCAGAGCCCTGATGCCCAGTGCAGCCAGTGTCTGGCCTCCAGAGCCCGCCTTGTTCATGTGTCTGCACAAACATCAGTAATCAATCAGGCACTGTTCCACCCAGCCCAGACCGGGTCTCAGAACCCTCGTTCGCACAGCTGGCAGCCACTGCCCATGCCTCACAGTCGAGACTCGGGAGGAAACCTGTTTGCTCTCCGTGCCTTGAGTCCTCGAGCAATTGTAAGGGTCATCGATGATAGTAATCATAGCAACTATTTATTGAGTGCTAAGTGCCGGTGAGGTAGGAATGGTTACCACCACCCTCACTTTACAGATGAGGACGCTGGAGGCTCAGAGAAGCTGAGTGACTTTCCCACGGCTGCACAGGAGGAGCGGCCAACCCGCACCTGGGTCTTGACTCCGCTCCCGCCCGCTGCTGCCCAGTGGCCTCTGGAGTGGCTGTGTGTCCGCACCCCCATACCTGGGTCCAGCTCTCATCCCCCCTTCTCTTTGCTGTCCTCCTAGTTTGGTTGCTGCGGGGTCAACGGGCCGGAGGACTTTAAGTTTGCATCAGTTTTCCGACTTCTGACTTTGGACAGTGACGAGGTGCCGGAGGCCTGCTGCCGGAGAGAACCCCAGAGTCGGGACGGGGTCCTGCTGAGCAGGGAGGAATGCCTCCTGGGAAGGGACCTGTTCCTGAACAAGCAGGTACCAGGCCCCACTCCCCCAGGCAGGGAAAGCCTGTCCATCGGGGCTTGGGTGGCCAGAGCTGGGTGGGTGACAGTGTGGGCCGTGAAGGTCTGAAGGCACTCAGGGAATCCCATGGAAATGTTGGCTGTGATATGGGACTCCTGAAGGGGGGCTGAGGAAGGCTCCATGCATACTCCTGAGATCCAACCAAAAGGGGGAAAGGATGAGAATGTCAGACAGTCCATCAATGGCTGTGAGCATTCAGAGCCCTGATGCCCGGTGCAGCCAGTGTCTGACGTCCAGAGCCCACCTTGCTCATGTGTCTGCACAGACATCAATAATCAATCAGGCACTGATTGAGGAGTGGGCCTTTTGGCTGGGGCTCAGGGGTGACTCGGAGTTTTCCAGTGTTCCAGGTAGAACACTCCCTGAGCTTCTGGTAATGCAGGTGTCAGGAGCCAGAAACAGGATTACGCAGTGGGGCCCCTCCTCAGCTGTGCATTTTATTTGGAGGGAAGCTCACCTTTGCCATGTGGGAGCACCTCCGGATCCCACGGGAGCAAGGTTTCCCTGACCTTAGTCTCCAGAGTCTGGGAAGCTCCTAGACCTCTTGGCTTCTTTTACAACCCAAGGACTTCATCTCAATCTCAGAAGAAGCCCTTTCCCTTGCTGTGTGTGCCACCTCTGGGGGCTGCAAGGGCCCCTGCTATGCCCTCTCCGTGAGGCAGACAGTACCCTTGACCTTGATCCCCCTTCCCACTGACCAGTCCCCCTACACCTCAGGGGTGTGTGTGAGACCAGGCTAGGCAGAGCAGTGGGGGGAGAATGAGGGTGACCTGAGCCCCATACCCCTTGCTTGATTCGGCCTTTGATGAGGCTCTCATGGCAGAGTGCCAGGTGCAGGGGACACAGCAGGGGACAGCAGACAAGACCCCTGCTCCTGCGGGGCTTACAGTCTGGTTAGAGGAAGCAGACGATAAGCAAGCAGCCAACACATAGCGAGTCATAATTTCACATGAAATAATAATTTTACTCTAAAGAAAATAAAACTAGATGATGGGCTAGAAGGGACTGGGGTGGGATGGGGGCGAGGCTCAAGTCCGGCCTCTTAGAGTCCCGGGGGGTGGGTGGGGGTGGGAGTTGGGCTGCAGCCTGACACTGCCTGTCTGATGAGACTCTTTCCAGCCTCAGCTTTGCCTCATGAACTCAGCACCCTCATCCCCTGCACCTGCTCATGTCATGTCCAAGGACTCATCAGGCTCCAAAGCCACATTCCTTGTGGTCCGGCCTCCCTGCACTGGGGGAAAGAGACCTAAATAAAGAGACAAAGGTCCTGGAATCAGGCTGCTATGAGCTGGGGGCAGGGGCAGTGCCCCAGGAGTTAGGTCTTGGCCTTGAGGAGAGGCTGCATGGCGTGGGGGGATGTTTCAGGCTGTGATGTCAGGCAGACCTGGGATGTTAGCAGCTGTGTCACCTTGGCCAAGACACACGCTCTGGACCTCAGATTCCTGACACAGTGGCAGAGACTGCTGGCTGCCCCCATGCTCGGTTCACGCTTCCTCCTTGGAAAGAGGTTTAGAGACCCCATGACCACCAGGTAAAGCCCCCCTTTCCAGCCTCCCTTGCAGCTAAGCCATATGACCCAGTTATAGCCGAAGGGAGGTGAGCAGAGGCGATTTGTGCAATGGAGTCATGTCCTTAAGAGCAAGCACTGTGCCTGCCCCTCCTTCTCCCCCGGCCCCCGCAACCCCTGGCTGGTGGTGACAGCCATCTTGGTGACAGCCATGGTGACAGCCATCTCAAACCTTGCAGAGGAGGGTGGCCCCCTAGAATGTCAGAGCATCAAGGCGCCTGGGACACTGACAGCTCCATGAAGCAGAGCAGCCAGCACAGCTGGGGGTTGATAAAGACAAACAAACTTCTACCATTAGGACTGCCTGCTGCCCACCGCCAAGCTTCTATCCTAAGGCCACTTGTGAATTGTTCAGGGAGGCTTCCCATGGGCCCTGTTCTTTTAGGGCTTCATCCTGACATGCTTCCCATTTCTGGATTCATCCGCCATTATGATGCCTCCTTCCATCTCCTGGGTGTGGCTTTGAAATTGAAGTTCATCAGAGAGGTCCCTGTGCGGCTACATTAGTTCTTTACGAGGACTCTTCCCCTGTTTCTCATGAGGATTCCCAGAGATTGACTCCTGGGATTCCTTTCCTGAGACACCAGCATCCCTCCTGAGCATTCTTGCCTTTTAAAAGCCTCTGCTGAGGGACTATTTCTATTTGATTTTTCTCCAAAGCCCACTTCCCTGAAGCCCAGGATGCATTTCTGAATTTGCCTCACATCCTCTTCACAGTTTTGAGTCAGTGAACATGTTTGACTCCAAGTAACTGAAAATTTAAACTAAAAGGGTTGAAGCAAATGGCAAGCATTCTGGAAGACAGCGCCTTCTCACATTTATCAGTGGCTCCATCATGTCAATCAAGGCCTAGTCTCTGTGATCCTTGTGGCCTTTCTTTGTGCTTAGTACTTCATGGTGGCAAAATGGCTGCCACGGCTCCAGACATCCCACCCATGTTGAAGACAGGAAGAAGGTGGCACCAGCTTCTTTCCCAGAAACCCCCATCAGACTTCTGCTCCGGTCTCACTGGCCAGGACTCAGTCATATGGCTGTCAGGAGCTAAGGCAGAGTGCACTCATCTATGGGTGTTGAGTTAGTCCACCAGCCCTGTTTATCACTGAGTGCCAATGAAGAGAAATAAAGAAATCCCGAAAGGTGATCCATGATGAATAACCGGGCTCCTCCATTGGTATGAGTTGAATCCACCATGGCAGCTTCTCCTGCTCATTCCTCAGCCTTCCCTGGGTCAAAATAGTCACCCAGGCAAGTCAAGAACGTATTCCCCTGCTGGAAAAAAAAATATCAGGGAGTGTGCCAGGAGACGGTGATCTTGCTAGACCTCGACTCCAGGCCAGTATGGTGACCACCAAGAGGAAAGCATCCATTTTTCCCACTTGTCAGGGTGGTCTTAAGTGTTCTCTCCCCACAGCATCGCTGTTTCTCTGCTTTATCCTCAGTGCTCCCCACCCATCCGCTTCCTGGTGGGTTGTGACTATGGGTGCTGCTGTGTCTCCTCTAGACATAGAGTACCACACTCTCATCCTCCTGACGAGGGTAAAGCTCTCCAGCCAGAGAGTGAGCGCAGCCTGTTCAAAGGCCCTGGGGTATGAGGGAGCATGGTGTGTTCCAGGGACCAAGAGAAGGCCAGTATGGCTGGAGCACAGTGAATAAGGCAAGACTAGCTCAAAGCGAGGGTATCAGCAGAGCCAGACTATGCAGTGCTGACGGGCCCATGGCAAAGATGCTAGAAAAGCAAAGAAGCCCATGTCGAGTTCTACGTGGGGTTGTGGCCATGTTGGCACTCTGGCTGCTCAGCGGCCAGGGGTTAGAGGTGGACCTGAGTGAACAGGATGGATTTTTACACTGGTCCCAGTGAGAAACAATGATGGGTTAGACCAGGATGGTGGCAGTGGAGATGCAGAGAGGTGTATGGATCTGAGAAATGAATCAGGAGGTAAAATGGTGGTAGGCCGACTTTGGGGAAGGCAGGATGAGGCAGTGATGAGGGTGACTCCATAGGTCCTGGTTTGGGGGAAGATCTCAGATCTGGTCTGAGGCAAGCTGAGTGTGAGGTGCCTTTGGGACCTCCAAGCAGTGGTAGCCAGTGGACAGTTGGACTTAGAGGGCTCGGGGGAAGGTCCATGCTGGACGTATAAATGTGGGTGGCCTTTATGCTGGCACGTCTGGCCTAGCTGCCCTCTGTCAGATTAGGTTGGGGGGCGCCGCGACTGGTCGGGAGCCAGGAGTGGGAGGATGTTCTCTCTCTGCAGAGACGGAGGATGGGTGCTGGCGACAGCGGCACAGCTAGGGGACTCGCAGTCTGTGGTGGCAGCCCGGGGAGAGATGGTCCCCTGCAGCGTCTCCTTGGGCAGGGTCAGGATAAGGGGTGGGCATCCATCCTGAGGGTGAGGAAGAGGTGATACCCCGGGCTGTAGGCAGCTCCGGGCCCTGAGCCAGGGACTCCGCCTGGGTGAGCGAGAACCGAGGCTTCTTGATGCAGCTCCTGGGAGCTTGGACCTCCCTCAGTGTAAATAGGCTTCGCTGCCTCCTTGGGTGTGACCTTGAGCAAGTAGTCAGCTGCTCCCTCCCTTCTTTCCTCTTCCCTGAGGGGCTGGAATGGGGACTAAGTCATAACAAGCACATGAGGCCACAGCAGAGTTCTGGCAAGGGCGGACACTCGCTGAGTGTTGGCGGCATCTTCCGTTCACCCACTGCCCTCACTGCTCCCTCCTAGGGCGTCTCAGTACCAGGGCCTCCATCACACAACTGGTCTGCTCGATTCAGCCCGGGGACCCAAAGGGCCTTTGGTACCACAGCCCAACAGAGGGCAGATGAGCAGTTAAGGCCCCAGGTACCTCATCCACAGCAGATGAGGGGTGCAGGGACATCTTCCCTCTGGGGACAACTCCCACCCACCGGCCCGGGTGAGGCACAAAAAATCAACTTCAAGTTCAGGAAGGGATTTACTGCTCCTCCTGTCCCCACACAGTATAGTATAGGTGTGTGTGTGTGTGTGTGTGTGTGCGCGCGCGCGCGCACACGCGCATGTGTGTGTGTGTCTCGTGCACGGATCCCCAGGGCGCGCGCGTGTGTGTATGTGTGTGTGTGTGTGTGTCTCGTGCACGGATCCCCAGGGCATGTGTGTGTGTATGTGTGTGTGTGTCTCGTGCATGGATCCCCAGGGCGCGTGTGTATGTGTGTGTGTGTGTCTTGTGTACGGATCCCCAGTGTGTGTGTGTGTTTGTGTGTGTGTGTGTCTCGTGCATGGATCCCCAGGGCGTGTGTATGTGTGTGTATGTGTGTGTGTGTCTCGTGCACGGATCCCCAGGGCATGTGTGTGTGTATGTGTGTGTATGTCTCATGCATGGATCCCCAGGGCGTGTGTATGTGTGTGTGTGTGTGTGTCTCGTGCACAGATCCCCAGGGTGTGTGTGTGTATGTGTGTGTGTGTGTCTTGTGCACGGATCCCCAGGGTGTGTGTGTGTGTGTGTGTCGTGCATGGATCCCCAGGGTGTGTGTGTGTGTGTGTGTGGTGCACGGATCCCCAGGGCGTGTGTGTGTGTGTATGTGTCTCTGTGTGTGCATGTACGTGTGTGTGTCTCGTGTACGGATCCCCAGGGCGTGTGTGTGTATGTGTGTGTGTGTGTGTGTGTCTCGTGCACGGATCCCCAGGGCCATAGAGGGTAAACCCACACACCCAACTCTGCACTCAGACATTTCCCACCACCCAGGGGCACAGAGTGAGACAGCATGGTCCTAACGGGACTAAGGGCTGGCTCCCTGCCAACCCTGTTCAACGTGCTTTGTCTGGAGCATCTCATTTTATCCTCACACAATCCTATAAAGTAGTTAGCCTACATAACCCCAGTTTCTGGATTGGGCAAGTAAGGCCTAGAAAAAGTAAGTACAGGCCCACCTCAGAGATTCTGCGGGTTGCATTCCAGACCACCATGATAAAGAGAGGGACACGAATTTTTTGGTTTTCCAGTGCCTATAAAAGTTATGTTTACACTACACTTTATTAAGTGTGCAATGGCCTTATGTCTAAAAAGACAGTGTGCATACCGTGATTTTAAAATGCTTTATTGCTAAAAAAAAATGCTAACGATCACCTGAGCCATCAGCCAGAGGTAGTGATAACGTCAAAGATCACTGACCACAGATTCCTGTGACACATCTAATAATGATGAAAAAGTGTGAAATACTGCGAGAATTACCAAAATGTGACACAGAGACACGAAGTGAGCAAATGCTGTTGGAAACATGGCACCAACAGACGTGCTTAACACAAGCCTTCAATTTCTCAAAAAACACTATATCCATGAAATGCAATAAAACGAGGTATGCCTATCGGTTTGCCCAGTAAGCAAGTGGCTGGTGTAACCACCACTTCTCTCTGGGTTATTGGTGCTTCTTGTCTGGAAGGCCCCCAAACCGCACGACAAAGCCAGTGTCAGGGTAGAGGGGTGGTGTGCAGCAGTGGGTGCTGTCGTCGGCCTCGGGAGGCAGGTGGCAGCCAGAGGGGATGACGGGAGGCCAGAAGCATCCCTCCCAGGCTCTTCCCTGTCTCCCTTCCCTTCCCTCCAGAGCAGGCCAGCTTTCTGCTGCCATGGCTCTACGTGTTGGGGTTCTGATGCTTTAAAAAGAGTTAAACAGACCAAGGGGGTTGGCAGTTTGAGTTCTGCCCCGACACGGCTCTGCAGGCGGATCCAGGATGGCCCTGGCCTGGCCAGGCGGATGGGGCTTCCCTGCCAGCTCTGAAGTTGCCTCCAGCCACTCTGGGTTCCTGACCAGCTGGCCTGTGGGAGGGTGCCCTTAGGGCTCCGATCACACAGCCCTTAGCTGGGCTCCCAGTGGCGCTGCTGAGACAAGGCCCGAGTTCAGCTAAGACCTTCTTTTCTTGTTGTCCTTGCCGGGACTGTGGTGTCTCAAAGCCCGGCCATGGCAAAGGCATTAGAAATCACCTGGGGCACCTGCTCACGACGTAGGTTCCTGGGCTCCACACCAGACCCCCTGATCCAGAGTCTTGGGGGTGAGGCCTTGGCATCTGCATTGTTAACCACCTCCCAGATGATTCTGACACACCGTCAGCCCCAAGAGCACTGTGGATCCAGGTCATCACGCTGGAGGGGTCTGATTATCTGGGTACATCCTATTTGCTGCTGTGCTCAAAGCGGGGCCTGTGGGAGGCTTCCCTGCCCAGCCCCCATCAGCCTCCAGCAGGAGGGTCTCATGCCATCCACCTGGCCACTCTGCCCAGATCACGTCCTGCTGTGCACCTGCCTGGGCACAGCCTCATGGGGCGTCATTTCCACTTCCGGCCAATGAGGCGGGGCTTCTGGGTGATTGACAATGGGCGTGAACACCCAAGAATCACCTAAGAATCACCCAAGAATCTCAACAGAGCTCAGAAACAGCCAGAGTCACCCAACAGGGACCAGGCACGATCCCCACCCCCACCCGGGGGCTCTTCCCCTTGCAGGTCCTCTGGCTGGGCCCAAAGAATACACAGCTTCTCCTAAGTGAAAGAAAATTCTCCTTTAAAAATACATTTCATTCAAGGCAACTACCGTGCATCAGTCTCTGGTCAGCATGGTGCCAGGGTAAGGAGCATGGACACGAAGATGACCAAGACGTGAGGCACCCAGGGTCGGATGGGGCTGAGGTCACGTGCTGGCAGCTCCTGGCTTTGCTCGCATGCCATCCTTCTCTTTCTCTTTCTGTCTTACTGGGTCCATCTATATCTCAGTCTGTACATCCTGAGGACTGCTTGAGAAAGCAGTAATAGCACAGGAATTCAATCCATTTAGAAGGGGCCCTGTGAGAGCTGGGCTGGTCCTGGAAGGCTGCCTGGAGGAGGTTAGATATGTGCTGGGTCTTGAAGAATGGGCTGTGTTTCCTTAGGGCAGAGGCTACAAACCAAAATCCAGCTGCCAGGCTGGGAATGGGAAGGAGTAGAGAGGGTGGGTGTGGGACAATAGGGGATGGTGGCGACTGTGGTTCCCCAGGGAGCACCTGTCCCCAAGTACTGCCACATAGAAAGAAATGATGGCTTACCTAGCTGGATCTTCTGATTTTGTGAGAGAAGCAAGGAGCCCAGATATTTATTGGAAATTTCCCAATATTCCAATCAAAAAAGAAGAAAGGGTCTGTGGCTGATTCGGCAGCAGTCAGGCTGGCAGTTTTCAGCCCCGCCTTAGGGGCTGGAGGGCCAGGAGGGTCTTTGGTGTATTGCTGCTGAGTGGCTGAGCTTTGGGGCCACATGCCAGTTCCCAGGCTTCACACCCCTGTCCTGAGGCTGGCCCTTGACCTCTGTCCCTCCTTCCTGGCTATGGCTTTACCTCTGGTCCTTCCCTCCCAGGGCTGTTACACGGTGATCCTCAACGCCTTTGAAACTTACGTCTACCTGGCCGGAGCCCTCGCCATAGGGGTGCTGGCCATCGAGGTAAGTAAAGGCCCCCGCTTCTGTGGCTCCTCAGAAGCAAGACAGACACCTACACAGGGTGTCTCAGGCAGATCCCCCATGGCCTGCACCCCCAGCCTGCCTCCGTCTCCAGGTCCTTAACCCAGGACCCAGTGGGTCCCCACTGCAGGGACGATGGGCAGGTAGGCCCAGCCGTGTCTGTCTGCTGCCTGCGAGCCACCCTGGGACTCTGGGCACATCTGAGCGAGTCTGCGGGCAGTGGGCATGGACAGGCCCTGAGAGTCGCTGCCCTCACCCCTACCCACGGTCCAGAGTGAACTCTGAAGGATCAACGCAGCTGATTTCAGGGAGGGGCTACAGCCTGTGCTTCTAGATCAGGCCCATTCTCTGTGGGGTGTTCAGGGCCTGCGGGGCCTTGAGAACCTCACAAGTGCACGTTGAGCCCCAGAGGTGAAGACAGAAGGGCCCTGAGCCCCCTCAAACGGAAGGCAGCTGCAGACTGTTGTAGCCACCACTAGGTGGCGCTTTGGCCAAAGGGCAGAGCTGCCCCCTTCCCTTCCTTCTACCACCCTCCCCCCCCCCCCCCCCCCCCGCCCCCC